GTTGGCTTGAAATAGTTAATGGAAAAGTAATATAGGGAAATTAAGGAGTATAATGCCACATTGGGTGACTAGTAATAATAGCACAAATGTAATTAGAAACTGTATATATAATTGTTCTGTAAGGCGTTTATCATGACTAATAAAGTTTCTATGTTGGCAATATAAAAAAAAAAAAAAAATTTATCTATATTTAAGGATCAATTCAGATGGTCGGATTACGGATCGATTCACTACTTTGAATTAGAGTTAGAGCAGGGTTTAGGTAGTTATATATAAGCAAAATTGTCTTATTTTCAAGTTTTTCGGTTTTTTTCTTGTTTTGCTTCGTTGGTGATCATCAAAATTCTATAATTTGATTGGTCTAATATCACGTGATTCTGCTCCGCTTTAGACGACCCCAAAAATAGAAATTTTTAAAAAATAAGCCCGCACTATGGTAAAAATTTTTTGATCGTCGCTCTTAGCCAATCAAAATCGAGAATCTGCCGTTGCGGCACCTAGGTTCACAATACCCTCCTGCACTCTTGTTACTTTCAATTCTATTAGCTAATTCAGTGTTAAAATCAATATCATGGCTAAAGCTAAAGTTAAATATTTAACATAAATACAAGCAAATTTGTCCGCTAAACAATTTATTATTGTCATTTTTCTATATCCCGATAGTATAACGAACACCCTTAGGCCGAATTCATCTATTTAACGAACAAATTGCAAAGAACCGAATTTTTAATTTATAATAGTTATAACGGATTAATAATAAAAAAAAAACATTTTTTTTCAGCCCGGATTTCCATTATATAGATAGTTGACTGTTAAACTGTTGTAATAAAAAAATTCTTGAGAGCTTTAAAATCACGAGATTACGTACGTACGTACGTACATACGTACGTACGTGACACACAAGTGATTACATTCAGGTGAATGCGTGAACGTTTACGTCACTTATAACTATAAAATCGTTCTCCGTGGTTCTTACTTCTTTACCTTAGTACAACAGTACAAGAGTAGCAATTGATACTTGAGGTGCAATCGGTAACTTTAACGACTGGCTATTCCATGGTGTCATAAATCTTTACGATTTTTTGATTTCAGTCTTTAAGAATCCATACATTATCACCTTTTTCTTTTTCTTTTTTTTTTTTTTATATATTATATACCAAAAAACAAATCGATCAACATTGACTTCATAATCCCCGAGATTCTTTTACAACCCTTCCTGCTCGTCTGCTTTTTAGTAGCTTTGTCTTATCTCACAAGATTAATACCCGCAGACTTCAGCATGGTATCTTTCTTTAAATTACTTATTTTTACATTTTAGGATATTTTTTTTAGTCGAGTTAAGGCATAGTTTATGAGTGCAATTTTTCACTTTTATTGCATAGTTTATTTTTTTTTTTTCAAAACTGGTAGTTCAAACGAGCCTTATGGATCGTTGTATACCTGCCTCTTTGCTCAATTGTGTTAATGATCTAGTTTAATACTTAAAATAAAGCTTCGATCGCTGTATTAATACTAATATTTCACACTGTTATCTTAGGATGAAAATATGGATATGTCTGGTGAATCAGCAACACCTGTCGATGGAGATAGGCCTATGTCTGACGTCGAAGAAACTACAACTTTGGCTGTAACTGATTGTACGTTTTTAAGCTTTATTTAGGATGCTTACATCATTCTTGGGGCGTGACGAGCTTGCAAAAAACATATTTATGTTTTTCAATAAATAAATACTTTTTTTTTTTTTAAAAAAAAAAAAAAAAGATCAATATTATTCTTACAGCATTTATATGATTATTTTCGGTGACTATGTGTTTGATTAACTTCATCCTTCTCATAGATGATGCCATTGCCAGTAAAATTATGCCCGATCCTGGTTATGAGATAGAAGATTTTCAGCACCACACATGGCAAATCAACAATTGGCGAAGCTTAGATAAAAGGGTAACAGGCCCCGAATTTGAAACTGGTGGTTGGAAATGGTAGGTGCAGTTATATGTATTCTATATTTTTTCCTATTATCGTAAATCAATAGTAGAAATGTTTTTTTTTACCTGAAAAAATTTAGGCGAATTCTGCTTTTTCCGCAAGGAAACAACAATACAGACACAGTATCCATTTATCTGGATTTTGCCGATCCGAAAGGAGCACCGGCTGGCTGGCACTCGTGTGTACAGTTCGCTTTAGTTTTATGGAATCCTCATGAACCAACACAATTTATTAATCATAGTACGTAATCCATGATTTAGATCGATGTTTCAATTGACCATCTTCATATTTTTATGCCCCCATTTTATCGAATATTTTAAATTTTTTTATTTATAGATGCGCACCATCGTTTCACTGCCGAGGAATCGGATTGGGGATTTACACGGTTTTATGACCTGCGTAAATTATTCAATCCATCCGACAACCGAACGCGCCCATTAATCGAAAATGACAGTTGCAACATCACGGCATTCGTTCGAGTCTTGAAGGATCCTACAGGCGTTCTATGGCATAATTTCATCAAGTATTTTACTTCCTTTCTTTATATTATTCGAGCCTTAATCCGCAAATATTCTCTGTTGTTATGGCCTTCAATATTTCTGGCGTTGTGTTTAACCTCTTCATGTAGTTATGATTCAAAGAAAGAAACTGGATATGTGGGCCTAAAGAATCAAGGTGCTACATGTTACATGAATTCGCTACTGCAGTCACTCTACTGTACGACATACTTTCGTAAGGTTGGTGCACGATCTTTATTATTATTATTCTTTTTTATAAACATTCACTTCTATATTTAATAGTATATTACGTTTAATTTATAGGCGGTTTACCAAATTCCTACCGAAGATGACGAACCTTCCAAAAGTATTTCTCTAGCATTGCAAAGAGTTTTTTATCAATTACAGACGTCGGATACTCCGGTTGGAACAACGGAATTAACAAGATCTTTCGGATGGGATTCGTTAGATTCATTTATGCAGCATGATGTACAAGAGTTTAATAGAGTGTTACAAGACAATCTAGAGGGTAAAATGAAGGTGGGTTTTATTATTTGTTGAGTTAAATTAATCCTAACTAATTCAAAATGGTCTTACTGCAAACTATGATGGGCATTTATGCCCAATTCAGAATACAAATGCAGATGGTGCTATTTCTAGGCTTTTTGTTGGCAAGATGAAAAGTTATGTTAAATGCGTCGAAGTAGACTACGAGTCTTCCCGTGTTGAAGATTATTACGGTAGCAATGAATATATATGCCATAGGTTGATATTTTTTTTTAGATTAGGTTTGAAATAACATTTAATTATATTGTGGTAGACATTCAACTTAACGTAAAGGGGTGTAAGAACCTGGATGATTCATTCATGGAGTATATACAAGAGGAAACTTTAGAAGGAGAAAATAAGTACCATGCCGAAGGTCATGGTCTACAAGTAAGTCATATTTTCAGTTACAGCGACATTGAATACTAGGTGCGAATACGCATGATCAAATTACTTCATTGAGTGCAAACATGTTAATTCTAATTGTTATAGGATGCAAAGAAAGGCGTAATTTTCGATAGTTTCCCTCCAGTGCTCCATTTGCAATTAAAACGCTTCGAGTATGATATGCAAAGAGATACTACGGTTAAAGTACCTATATTATTTAATTTTTATTATATCTTTTATCCTTTAATTTATTGGTCAAATTATAATTGTTTTTTATAAAAGATAAATGATCGTTATGAATTTCCTATGGAAATTGATTTACAAAGATATTTGTCATCAGAAGCCGATAGGTCAAAACCGTATAAATATTTGCTTCACGGGTTTGTAATAGTAGGATTCCGTATATCTTCATATGACTTTCATAATAGATTAATGCGTATATCTTTTCATATTAGAGTGCTTGTTCACAGTGGTGATTTACATGGAGGCCATTACTTTGCTTTACTGAAACCTGAAAAGAATGGAAAATGGTTTGCTAATTTCAATTTCTTGATAAATACAATTATTAAATTATATAATTTGTCCAAAACTAACATCATAATAGGTTAAAATTTGATGATGATAGAATTACACCTGTAACAGATAAAGAGGTACTTGAAGATAATTTCGGGGGTGAAGATTCTAATGTACGTCTCTCACCTGCAATTCGAACCGGTGGTAGAAATATTAAAAGATTTACGAACGCATATATGTTGGTGTATATCCGTGAAAGTGACATCGACCTTGTACTATCACCGGTACTTCCTCAGGATATACCAGAGCATTTGCGTGAGTGTTCTCATTTATGGGACTTTGTAATTGAAATTGCGCTGTGAATTTATCTTTCATTCTCATGTTTAATAGAAAGACGCTTAGATGAAGAGAAAGCATTATTTGAACAGAGAAAAAAAGAAGCCGAAGAACGTCATTTATATTTGTCTACTAAGGTAATAGCGGGCGAAATTAGGATCAATAATGAATTTCACTGCCTTGCATTGTCTATAGCAGTTCAAACTTTACTCAACTTTCAACGTTAGATCGTGACTCCAGATACCTTTGCGCGCCATCAAGGGTTTGATCTCGCTAATTTCGATGATCGACAATATCCGCTATCTGAAGTTCCGCAATTTAAGGTTTTGAAAAGTGAAACATATGGGGATTTCAAAGTTAAGGTCGCTAAACATTTTGGGTATCCAGTTGAGCAAATAAGGTTTTGGGTCCTTGTAAATCGCCAAAATAAGACTGTTAGGCCGGATACTCCAATAACGGACAATTTTCTTGGCATGAGTAAGTAATATGTAAAATATGTTTTTTTTATGTTTTTTTCTTTTCATTTCGTAATTAACTTGTATTAATTTTGTGATGAATAGCTATGGATGAAATTCACACAAAAATGGCTGCGAGACAAAACGAACTGAAATTGTTTTTGGAAGTGGCAGAAAAACCAATTAACGGCAAAGTAATACTTAGCATTTAAAATCTGTTATGCACTTTATTAGATATGTATTACTCATTTCGATTGTTGTTTATTTGATTCGTAGACTTGGTTTCCGCAACCAGAAGGGAATTCACACATAATGGTTTTCGTTAAATTCTTTAACCCAGATACGCAATCTTTAGAGTACGTAATTTTAATTTATTGATTAATTCATTTGATATGAGAATTAATCTTTTGCTCTATGTAAACAGAGGGCTCGATTATTTATATATCCAAAAGTTTGGTAAAGTTGGTGAAATCATTCCAATTCTTTGCGAGAAAAAAGAATTTCCACCACACACACCTTTGAAGATATTCGAAGTAAGATGTATTTGCATATATATTTGTCTTATTTAGTTGATCATAACGATCTTTTTATTTATTGAAAAAAAATAGGAAATAAAGCCAAACATGATTGAAGAAATGAAACCTAAATTGACTTTTCAACAATCTGAGATACAAGATGGTGATATAATTTGCTTCCAAAAGGCTTTAACGGATAAAGAGTAGGTTATTTCTTAACATGGTCTTGTCTCGCTTTTTGTTCATTTTTATAAACGAATTTCCCGCTTCGATTTAGAATTCAAGAACATACTACTGCAGGTCGTATTCGCGAAGTTCCTGCATTCTACGAGTCGTTATCTTTGCGTATCGTCGTTCAATTTAAGCCGAAATTTAAAGATCGAGAACAAAAACCCGAATTTGAGTTAGTTTTAAATAAGAAATACTCATATGATGATGTACGTTGAAATTATTTTTTAAATTTAATGAATGGTAAAGTGATGGTCAACTCGCTATAGTCACATGCTTTAACTAGGCACTTTATGTGGCTATGGAAGATGCTGGTGGAATAATTTCATCACTATTGGTGAAATTAATGTTGAATTGGTGAATTTTTCACTATTGGTGAAATTCGTGGTATTCTTGAGATTAATTTCACTAGCATCTCCAATCATGGCTAATTTATAGTTTTAGTGTATATAAAATTAGACAGGAAATTATAGTATGATTGTGACAAATGCGGGTGACTATTGCGGAGTCAACTGTATTATTGTGAAATTTGATATTTTGGCTATGTTCATATTTATTTCCGCCAAAAACTATGCTCACCATAATTCGCCATTTGAATTTAATCAATGATTAACTAAATTTCTTTTATTTTTGCTATGTACTTGTGTAGGTCGCTAAACGCGTTGCTGCTCATTTAAGCACAGATCCATTGAAATTACGGTTTACAACGGCACATCCAACAAATGGCACACACAAAGCTATAATTAAAAGGTCGACCACTCAAACACTGTCAGAGATGCTTCAAACAAGCTATCTACCTAATTCGGCGAATCTTTTGTATTATGAGATGCTTGAAATTAGTATTGTGGAATTAGAAACTAAAAAGTTCTTTAAAGTATGCTGGCTTGGGACAACTATTAAAGAAGAGGTAAAAATAAAATTAACGTTCCGATCTAATATTAGCTAGTTTGTTAATTTTTATTATTTCCTTTTAAAGGAAGTGATTGATGTTCGTCTTCCAAAGACTGCTATAATTAATGACATTTTAGAAGCACTTTTACAAAAACTATCATTGTCAGTACCCACTGATAGAATCAGGTTGTATGAGGTTTTACATTGCAAGATTCAAAAAGAATATGATTCCAACGATCCAATAGATAAAATACAAGAACAGTCGACGCTATACGCAGAGGTTTTTCTTTCATTCATTTTCCTGGCTTAGATATTCGTTATATTACGATTTTTGGAAAATAATTATTTTCATATTTAGGAAATACCACAAGATGAAATCGAAAAAAGCACTAATGATAGAGCTGTTCAAGTATACCATTTTACTAAGGAACCGTTACGCTCGCATGGAATTCCATTCAAATTTGTTATCAAAGCTGTTAGTATCTTGAATGCTATTTTCATGTAATTGCTTTTATTTATATTATTTTATGTTTTACACATTCAGGGAGAGCCCTTCTCTGCGACTAAGTTGCGCCTTCAATCACGCCTAGGGATGAACGAAAAAGATTTCTCGAAAGTTAAAGTTGCAATTGTACAGCCGCTATCATATGCCAAGCCTCAATATATAGAAGATGATAGTATGTATATTCGTTTTTAATTTAAAAAAAAAAGACTGATTACCAATAAGTACATTCATAAATTTCATTAATATAAATAGATGATATTCTATCGGATCATAAATGGGCAGATGAGCTTTTAGGTCTTGACCATGTAGACAAAACAGGACGTGCGGGGAGAGTAGGGGGTGAAAAAGCGATATATATTAGGGGATAATGTACTTTTTCATCAAAAAAAAAATTTTTTTGTAATATTTCTAGTTTTTCAGGTTATCGAATCAAGTAATTGTTCAATTAAACAATTTTTATTCGTATGTTTTTAGGATTTCAACCGTGCGCAAAAAAAAAAAAAAAAAAAAAAAAAAAAAAAGGTTACGGCGATATACGATCACATAATGAACAATCCTAAATGATTTTATTAAATAATTTTTTTATTTATGAGTTTTATGCGTATTCTTGCCAAATGAATTGTCTTCGTCAAATGAATTATATTCATTGTCACGTGATAACATGCAAGCAAAACCATGGATTCTTATTTACTAAACTAAAATTTCGCTGGTTAAGTTTACGATTTGCTATTAGATTAAAGTTTGGATGCTATAATAACCAAAATTTCACAAGAAAAATATGCAGCAGTTTTGTGGGCAAAGTTTTTGAGAAATTTTTTAGGATGGTAACGCTATATGATATGATATTCACTAATCTATCATTATATGAATGAGTCAAATAAAAGAACTGGTAACCATCTATAAACCCTAGTTTCAAAATTTCCATTTATAATATATACGCAAGTAACTTCTTAATCGTCCCATAGCAATATTATAAATCTAAAATATTTTTAAACATGATAAATATGTAAATTTGATTGGCAAATAAAGACGTGATTTATATCATGAAACCAGATCATTGTCGTACATTTAAAGCTAATTATAATAAAAAAGATTCTTTGAAAATGCAGAATTAAAGTACGTTTGCTTCAAATTAGTTATATATTATAAAAAAAGTTTATTAGTTGTCAGAAGTAGTATAAGCCAAATATTCATCATTTAACTTTTTTTGAATTTCCCATTTTTGCTTTAGTTTTTTGATTTTGCTTTTCGATATTTCTTCTCCGTTGTTATCATGTGTTGGAATTCCCTAAAAGTGGACAGACCAACGTTATTGTTTTTATATCTTACACGAAATGAGCTGGTTGTTAATTTAGTCATATATAGTTGAAACATACTTGTTCATCAAACGCAGAATAAAGATTTTTTCCATCTTCATCTTTTTCCTCTTTAAACATATCCTCTGCTGCGAGTTTTCCCTTTTCTAATTTTCTTTTTCTTTCTTCCTCCTTAGCTTTTGCGGCAGCTTCTTTCTTGGCAGCCTTTTCTGCTTGAAGTTGTAATTTTGCCTCTCTTGCCTTGATAAGTACATCTTTGTCCACGAATTTTACTAAAGCCTTTCCATCTTCTTGATCATCCAATGATACTCCAAGATTTACCAAATCAGTATCTCTTAGCTTATCGCTCAGAGCCAAAAATTCTCCATGGCCTTTCTGTTGACGTGCAAGTTCTCGGACACTATCACGAAAACTTGACAGAACACGAAGATATGGAAGCACAACTTCTTCTCGCTTTTCGAAATAATCAAGCATATTACAATTTTTGTTACTTTATATCGACAAATAATATAGAATAATATAAATACTTACGTTTATAATACTTTGTTCTGATTCACCGAAACCAATATCTTCAGATGAAGTGTTTCCAATAACACCAAAGATTTTTAACATATTTGTTACATATTTCGCTATATTTTCAAGTACGACCATATTGATATTATTTCTTCCAGCAGATACATAAATGTTAGTTTTGTTAATGAGTTCCATTATTTCACTCATTACAGTTGGTGTATTTAAGGAGTCGCAAAGTGCCTTGTGAACGGCTGATTGTTTTTCGCGAAGGCTGCAAGAACGAACACTTAGCAAAATTAAATAATCAGAATATTACAAAAAAAATCACTTGCTTACAGATTCATTAACTCTTTTTCTGAAGCATTATACCGATGTGTACCATCGGATTCGTGTGCAGCCTGTTTAAATTCATTCAATAGTGCTTTTGTATTTACAAAGAAATTCTAATAAGGATTTTCGATTAGAATGACATTTATGGTTTATTCCAAATAACTATAAAGAAAAATTGTGCATACATTTAAAATAGTTTCAATTCCCTTAGCTTCCCCCATAGTACTTTCTTTAAAGTCCAGCTTCGAATCCCATTGGTGAAGAAGGAAGCAGAGCCGCAGTTGTCGTGCAGTATGTTTTTCTAAGGCTTGCTATATATATATATTCAGATATAAATTATGTAAATTCACATTAAATTAAAATTAATAGCACAAATTGAATTAATTGATTCTAATGATACTTACACGAATACTAATAAAATTTTTCAATGATTTGCTCATCTTTTGACCTTCAATATTTAAGTGACCGACATGCAAAAAATAATTGACCCATTGTTGGCATCCATGATATGCCTGTTGAAACCGGTCATTTTTAGTTATTAAGTAGCCTTAATAAACAATATATTAGCACTCATTACCTCAGATTGAGCTATTTCATTATCATGATGCGGGAATGCCAAGTCAATACCACCAGAGTGAATGTCAAGATAGTCACCGAAAATTTCACTATAAAAATAAGTCACACAACATTCAAATGAAGACGATATATATATATATATTATATATATGAATATAAAGTATTATACCTAGCCATTACCGAACATTCGATGTGCCATCCTGGACGACCCTATACAAGTAAAAAGTGTGTAATTATAAATGATAAATTACTCGAAAATACGATTGAAACACACTTACGAATCCCCAGGGCGAATCCCAAGATGGTTCACCAGATTTACTTTTTTTCCATAAAGCAAAATCTCCCTTGTTTCGTTTTCCTAATAATTTACTTCCAAGACTGCCCTCCCCTTCTTCTATGAGTCCTTCATTGTTAGCCGACCAGGGCTCCAACTTTGCATAATGATGGTCCTCTTCATTGTTGAATGCAACGGTATCAAAATATACAGAGCCATCAGCTTCATAAGCAAATCCATTGTCAATTATTTTTTGAATAAATACGGCAATTTCGGGAACATATTCACTGACGCGTGTCATAATATCGCACGGGCGAACCTGATAAAATATGATATTGTTAATTATACTGATAATAATGAGTTTAGTTATATTCTTACGTTTAAAGCTTGCATATCGTTTATAAATTCTTGTTCCCAAGTAGCAGCCAAATCACGGAAAACCTTTTGGTCGGTAATAGATGCACCGTCCTATTGACATTCAATAAACAACTAGATCTTAGCAAATTGTTTCCTAATTAATTTCAATGATAAACTGCCTACCTTTTTATCCAACCATTCTGAAATAATTTCTTGAGATTCATTCAAAAGTTGATGAGCAGCTTCCTGACTGGTATCGTTATCCTCGAGTGCTACTTCAGCTGCTACCAATGCTTTGACGGCTTCCCTCTGACAAAGATGATAAAAATATGCAATATGTAAATTGTTACATAACTGATGACAAAAATATAATAATCAAATTATGAATGCAGCTTACGAATGAATTAGCATATAAAAGATATTTTGGATCGTCTCGAGATGTATTGTTCTCAATACCATCACCCATAACACCAAGTTTTGATTTAGTAAAATCATTCAATGCATTACGGATTTGTTCAATCAATTCTGGCGTAAGTGATTTTATTGTCGATTTAAAGTTATTGAAAAGATAATTTTTACGGGCACGTAGTATAATCTATTACATATTTTATTGAAAAAGATGGTTGCAATATTGGACAGAAGTATTAATTGAGGATATCAAAACAATAAAATATGATACCTTATCATCAATATCAGTTATGTTCATGACAAATAAAATGTCATAATTAAAATAATCTGTTAAAATACGGCGAATAAAATCGATCGTAACATAAAGTCTGCATAATGCGTAAAAAGGAGTAAGCTAGGAGTAAGCTTTTGAGAATGACAACAATTTATTAAGCAAGCATTAATCGCATTTCAATATTTAATTCCACATTTACCGAGCATGTCCAAGATGTGATGCATCATAAACAGTGGGACCACAATTATACCAGCTGATCTGTTTTCCGTTCTTCGGAATGAAATCAACCTTCATTCAAAAAATCGATAGTGAATTATATGAAAAATAAAGCAACGGACAAACACACGGCTAATTTACCTTTGTTCTAGTAAGAGAGTTATAAATTTTCAGAGTAGGTAGAGAATTATCAAAAACCGGAGCGTGCCATTCTGGCTGTTTTTTGTTTGTCATGCTTGCGTTCTTAACGTATTTTATATTTGTCAGAATTTTTGGAGATAATTCACGCCGCGTACTATAACTTTGCAACTGTCGAAGTTTTATATTAAGTGTAAATGATCTGCATAAAGTATATGTTTCAAAAGCAATTTTCATGAACGAAGCTTTAAAAAAAAAAGCCTCGGGTTCGACACAAATTTTTACCTTATATAAAAATCATGCAGCAGGCAAAAACTTGTAATCCGATTAAATCTACTTTTTTTATCGTTATCGGTATTATATAAAATCAATGTGCTCATGTGCACATGTTTTTTTACCTTGTGCACGTTGTGCACATGTCTGTGCACATGTTTTGTAATTCAGATTTTATACACTGGTTATCGGTATTAATTAACAAACATATGTAGATCATATATATACGTAATAATAGAATTTTTTTTATAGCCTATGACTTTTCCGAAATTTATATAGTAAAATGCGTTTTTTTAAATTGCTACTTCTCTTTTATTTTTAATGATAAAGATATAAAATTTACCTAAACTAATAGAGAATAAGTTATAGTTTTATACTTCAGAGAGTTTTTATAATTTATAAAATAGCTGGTCATGCAAAAGCTCTTTTAAAAAATTTTTATCGTAAATGTTTTCCACTCTATTGCAACTTTTAAAAATTTATATGAAGTAAAAATTTTCTCTTTGTATCAGTATTTTATATATTGTCTTCAATTAAAATATATTAATTTTTTTATAAATAACAAAGTTTTTCTGGAACCTTAGCGATTTAAAAAAATTGTGTTTTACTATATAATTTTGAAAAAATTATAGGCTATGAAAAAATTTTCCTTATTGCACTTTAGGCCATGCAAAATTAATTAATTGGTTTTCATAACCTGGCCGGGTCAAAATTTGAAAATTTCAAAAAAAAAATTTTATAAATTTTATAAAATTTTATATATGAAATTTTAAAAAAAAAGCCGGCCGGCCGGGTCTATTTAAAAGTTTCATGTTATGAAAACCAAGTAATTAAATTTGTATGGCCTTATATATATGATCTACATATGTTTGTTAATTATATGGGGTTAATATATAATACCAGATAGATTGTAATATATTAATAATAATCAATACCTAAATATTATTAATAAGTAAAGTTACTATTTCCTGCATGAAGATGTCTTATGACAAGATCATGGCTCCATCAAGCAAAGCCCGAAGAAATATCCCTTGGGCGCCATTGACATCTCTGTCTATTACTACACCGCAATTCTTGCATTTATAAATTTCTGATCCTCCAATATTTTGAATATTTCCACACCAACTACAGGTTTTTGATGTGTAAGCCTCGTTTTGAATTATCACATGAATTCCTTTCTCTTCAGCTTTCGCAATTAACTTTTGCCGAAACGTGTAATGAGACTAACAAAGCATCTTTCTAACTGTTTTTCTTGTTATTTTTTGGTTTTTTCTGGTCACCATGTCTGAAACCTCAAACAGAGGGATAATAATTATATCAAACTCATCAGTTAAGAACTTGATTGATTTTCTATGAATTTTGTCACGAAGTCATTTGATCTTTTGTTTGATCTTTCGTTTCATACGAAAAATTGCTTTGTTAACACGTAATGCTTTTTTTTTCTTTCATTTCGAGGTTGAAGCTACTAATTGGTCCTTGCTTAACAAAAGATCATCAATGTGCTTACATAAATGAAAGATTCGTCCTATATTATATTCATCTATCTTACCTATACCTTTTGTTGGCGAATACTATGTGAATGAAGTACGAACACTGGGATCAATTGAAACTACATGAACATCCGCTTGGGTTTCACAGATTTGTTTTTGTGTTTCGTATACCCAATGAAATATCCATTCGTTCATTTTACGTAAGTACGTAAGTTTACTGTCACATTCTATTTTTTCAGAAGGCTATTTATTGTTTTTTCTTTTTTTTTTCCAAAGTGAAATGGGCGTAAGTTGCGCTTTTCTTCTTCTAAATTATTAGTGTTTGATAATACGGTTGTAGTATGAAGATAAGTAGAGTAAAAATAATTTCAATCTTTTTTTGAAAAGTTATCTGCACGAATGGTCATTGTCTGTTGTAAATCTTTCTTGGATTTAAATGATAATGATAATTTGTTGGTTTCTTTCTATTATATTTTTTCTGGCATTTAATGCTTCATCAATACTCTTTTTGATCACTTGTGCAGATACTTTATCGTGTAAGCCTTTAAGTCGTAAATCTAACCATACGACTTTTCGTAAAAACTTATGTTCTCCCCATATACATGAGGTTTGTAATTTTTTACAGTATCCTCATCCTTAGGATCTTTCCCTTCTTTAACATCTACGTATAATTTAAGTTTTTCCTTGAGCAGAAGAGGTTTTATTCATTCAATTTTTTTAATTTCTTCAAATTTGTAAAAAAAAATGACGACTCTTGTTCCATCTAACGACCGTATTATACGCGAATCTCGTCAACCCAAGCCATCTCTTCAAGATCTTTTTTTGAGAATGATTAGGATACATTTTGATTGCTAATATTCAATTCACAGAATTTTCGATTTTTCTTTTTTTTTTGCTTCATGCTTTAATTGTTTTTTTTTTTTTCCCATTATTTAACTCTTCAAATTCGACAGGTAAAGGTTCTGATTGCAAAGTTATTTTGTGATAATTCATTTGTGGTGGCGAAACATGGTTTGTTGATGAGAACCATGAATTTAGCAGAGTATAATGAGGATCTATATTCATATGCAAATCTGCAGAGTCTCTCACGACGGGTAGCCATAATTTTTAAGACTATTCCTTAACCTGTTCGTTCCAATATGGTCTTATGCTCATTATCAAAGTATCATATAAAACAGAAAGAAGAATTTAAGCTTAATGGAAGATGCGAACTCAATTTTATAATGATTTAAAAAAAGCTTTGAAGGGAGGAGAAAAAAGTGAAACTCAAAATTTCTTGGTTTTTAGAAAACTTTTGATTCTAAAATACCTTTATTTATAAGGATTTTTTTAACTTTTTTTTTTTAATAAGCGAGCTTCCAGATATAGCATTAACACAATTACAAATTTAATTATTTTAGAACTTGTAATTGTCAAACAATTAATTATTTTAGAACTTTAATTTATCTAATAATTGTGTCAAACCCGATAGTTTGGGATCCAAAGGTTTTTACTAGATCTGACAATTGTGTTATAACTATCACTAGCTAGAGCATGAATCATAAGACAAATAAATTGTCATTGTCTATTGATGCAGGAAAATTATTTCCACAAATGTGAAAAAAATTCTCCTGCATCACTAGTCAATAACAATTTATTTGTCTTATAATTCACGCTCTAGCTAGCGATAATTACAAAACAATTGTTGGATCTAGTAAAGACCTTTGGGAATCTACTAAATCCCAAACAATCAGATTTGGTTTATATCAATATAACTGATGAGTGTATAACTTATATGTATGTCTGTATGTAATAAATAATGTTTGTTATCATATAATTGATTTGACTAACTACTATAAAATCAGAATTTGGTAAAATTTTAATTTACTAGATTAACAATTCAACGCATCATATAATTGTTCACAAGATATTCGATTAATAGATTAAAATATACTGTACAGACTGTAGTCGAATAATAGATTAATTTATATTTGGTTAGCGTTAATAAATTATAGACTTTAATTTGATGGATCAAAAATAACACTTCAAACAATTGGTATTAGTGCAGTAAATAGCTAGTATATTACTATCCCTTAAATTGTTTTGCAGCCAAATTTGCTTGCAAACTTTTTTAAATTTTAAAATTTTTTAATAAAATTTTAA